ACTTTGAATTGCAAGTTTAATTCTCATTGAATTAAAAGTTCAACTTTAATGGATTCTCTATATTTAAGATCTAATCTGAAAGAAGTAATTAGTTGCACGGGATTTTACGCTTATTTTAATTAGTTGTGACGTAATTTTACGCTTATTTTCTTTTCGATCAACTTATTTTATGTTTTATTAAACAGAGACAAAATAAATATATATTCTGAGTGAAAAAGTGATGTGGAAATTTTTGCGCAGCAAAATTCGGTAATAGCGCATGGCAAAGATCGACGTCCCAATTCCCGTCATCATTTCTTCAATTCCTCTACCGCTCGATTTATTCTTTTGAGAGATCTACTTCTGATAAGTTTTAAAGTTTCTTGGGAAGCAAAGTTATTATAAAGGTAATATTGACAAAGAGAAATAGTGGAATGTAATAGAATGTACGCATTCCTTTTCTTCATTTTTGACTTATTTTGCCTTACTTCTATTCCAAGTCATTTATTAAATTATTNTCGACGTCCCAATTCCCGTCATCATTTCTTCAATTCCTCTACCGCTCGATTTATTCTTTTGAGAGATCTACTTCTGATAAGTTTTAAAGTTTCTTGGGAAGCAAAGTTATTATAAAGGTAATATTGACAAAGAGAAATAGTGGAATGTAATAGAATGTACGCATTCCTTTTCTTCATTTTTGACTTATTTTGCCTTACTTCTATTCCAAGTCATTTATTAAATTATTTCTTCTTTACCATTTCTTCCGACAATCTTGTCTATTGTGAAGAGAATTTCTTCAATTTGGAATAGATTGTTAGGCTTCTAAGCAACTTAGTTTATTTTCGTTTTTGGAAGTTTCTTAATTCCGACATCATATATGAATCTTAAAAGTTAAATGGAGTGTCGCGTGCCGATTTAATCTACTATCTAATGGAAGTTTGTCAATTCTGCTATCGCTGGATCTTGAAATCAAATGGAGCAGATGCTGCGTGTTGATCTAATCTAACATTAAATGGACTACCGGGATGTCGAAGATATAATCTGGAGGATAACAATTCTCGGAGTTTAGATATAATATTGCGATGGATGTTCACTCACTCATTCAACCTCTTTTCTCTCTCCCTCTCTATTGTCTATTGTATACTTTTGTTAGGTTATTAACATAACATCGTCAGTTTATCTTCACTTTCTCTTTAGACGCAAACAGGTCACTCTACATCATTTAACCATCGTTCTGCTCCGGTCGTTGCACTTTTTCAAAAATTACATGTACTTTCCTTTTAATTTATGTTTGTCGATTATTCTTCTAAAGATGGAAAGTGTCATTATTTTTTGTTGTCATGTAATCCAGTAATTGATTTTGTCTCAGAAGACCCGAGAAGACTTATTGTGACGCAGAAATGCCAATATTGGATACTTGTATTACAGATCACTTGGGTAAACTTCATCGAAGGAAAAGATACTACTTACCCTTACTTGAGGTTATGTCCGCTTTATTAATTCACAATAGTTAACTCTTATCAGTAGCTCAATTTCACCAGTTCAATCTTATTAGTTCAATTTCATTACTTCAATTTTATCCGATTCTGAAAAACTGTTTTTATAGCAATTTTTGCAAGAATATCATATATATATATAATTAGTTTTTTATGTCCAAAACATTACAACATATACATTAGGTGGCATGAACACTTTGAGTAAGACATGTGAAGGTTATGCGTATATGAAGCAAAGATGCATTAGATATAGAGAAGCAAGTTGGCTAAAAGTTCCACAACAACAGGTTAAATTGTCTGCAACAATTTTATTCACTTTATTTCTGTTATTTACAGTTGGAATACGCCTTTTAATATCCAATGTCTCCTATCATCCCTTTTGTCCCGATACTTCTCTTCATCTATCTTTCATCTCTTTTATCAGCCTAAGTCTCATTCTGCTGTGAATTGTAAACTACCTACGTTATACATTTGCCGGATTCTTTTTCGTTTGGCTTGCATAACATCCGCGGAATTTCCAGTGTTATGTGAGCCAAATGAATCTGTTTTATACAACAACCTTGCAATTTGTGTGGCTGGATGAGACTGACGAGTACTGATAAATATGGTAATATTTATATCGATCTAATGATTCCGAGAGATTTCGAAGTTTCCTGCTGAAGCTGTCACAGATGAATATGGAAGTATCACGGTCAGGATCATTTTATTGCTCAAGACTGTTTTTAATGTTTTCTTACTTCTGCATGCAACTGTTTTCCCGTGGAATCTGGAGCACGCTATGAATATAAACTTTCCTATTCTATATCTCGTCATTCCAAATCTTTCAACTTTACTGACAATGTCAAGAGAAAAAAAATTACTCATCCGCATCCACCTGTAAAATTTCCGTTTCATAAAGGGAGGTGATAGGATTGGATTCATATTAATTACTGTGGTAAGAAACTTCAAAAAAAAGCTTAGCTGATGACGCATCCGAACAATCGTGGCAGTGTCACCGTTATAAGGAAGTGCGTAGTGATTGTACGTAAAAAAGTGAAGACGATGCCTTCCGGAATTTTTTTCCTTAAAAGATGAAATAATGAATTGATGTTGTGAGATTAACAGTTTACTTTCCGGTTGTTGCTACAATGAAATGAAAAACTGACTTGAAACTAGTTTTGATCCTCAAATGATGTACCTTCGATTATCACACCTTCTTCTTTTGTTCCTTCCTTTATTTTGATATCTTCTTGAAATTCACTGTTTCAAATACGATATTTCAATCATGTCTCAAATTAATTTGAAATTTAATTTAATTCCGAAAATTGTTGTTTGTTATTTGAAAGATATTTCTATTATAGAATTAGAACTAGCAAATCTGCATAATACTGACCTTCGAGTTCCAGTGAGAGAAAAAGCATTATCAAAGTTTTTTTATGGCGGTTTCAGTCTGAAATACTTGATATACAGATAACAAGATGATACACCTCATATTATTATGTCTATAGCATCCTACACCATTCCTTACTGATTTTAATTTTATAATTTTTCCGTACTTCAATTTATATTTTTGTATTCCGATTCCTCCATGACATACTTATCAGAATTTACATTACTTTCCAGAATTGTACAAACAAATAGTATTATGAATGCATTGCAGGAAAATGATTAAATGGATAATATTTAATATACTGCTATTGATTGCTACGGTTTCCGCTGATAGTTTCTCATCCCTTGCATCATTAAAGGAATTAATTGGAGCTGAGAGGGATATTCCGGTAATGATTAATGGCTACGTGAAAAAAGAATTAGAAAGACTTGATTATCTAAAAAAGTAAGTGCTCGTTTTTTTGAATTAAATTTAACTCCTTAATTTTTTATTTCATTCATTTCATTTTAATACAAATCTGATCCTCAAGTTGCAGTGTCATAATTATGGTTATTGCTCTCATTGACAAAATATAGCAATTAATTTAAATGCTAACCGGAATGACTAATGAAATTTCCGGCAAGTGAAATTAATAGCATGAATACTTATTTCTTTTCTCTACTTTTCTTTCACATGTAATGCCAAAACAATCATATTTTATAAAATAAAATCTAAACTTATCAAATTTAAAATTTCTTGCAATCGATAATTTTTCAAAATTAACTCATAATGCAATAAAAGTGATAAAAAGATAAGGTGAAAAAGCTCATGATCTAATAAATTAACAATGGCCTAGAGAATCGAAATCTCAGAACAGTATTACCTTTCTCACTTTAATTGCCTTTCCGACTACTCGATCTCACTGGAAGCATTACTTCTGTTGTTTTTGGATCACATATTAAAACTTATTTGATCTTTTAGGTTTTTCAGATTTTGAATATTATGATAAATTTGAAAGTAAGTCTTTTAGATGTATGCTAATCGGGTAGTTTGCAGTTCCTAATAGGAAAATGATTATTGGGTATATATCAAGATCAAGAAATATCGGGATACCGTATCTTCATCAAAATCGCTTTTGTTCGCTTTTGTCACTCCAAATGGTTGTTAAAGAAACTTTAATGATGAATTTTTGAAATATCTCGTAATTTTTGGAAATAATTAAAAGGTTCTGTAGCAGTATGTGTAACACTATCAATATTATCAATACTCAATACTATCTTTTCATAAACAATTGATATAATTTTAGGTTTGCTGAAGAAGTACAAGAACATAATAATAAAGCTATACAGGATGGTGCAGAAGCAATAAAACATCCGATCAATGCCTTTTTGTTAATTAAAGAAATGACAATGGATTGGAACAAAGTAATAAAAATTATGCGATCCAATTCTGCCGATGATTTCATCCGCAATTTAACTCGTCAACGGATTGATAAGCGTATCAATTATCCGACAGAAGTTCTTTTTTTATTTTTGTTTTCCCTCTCCTTCATTACAATCTTCTTTATTTCCAATAAGAGCTGATATTTGTGCTGTAATAAAAATGATCATATCATTTTGAATTTATCCGAAGTCGATAAAGCGCGCTTTCTTCTTTGCTGCTTGCTGAACGTGAACGTCACTAACACTGGGCCCAAATGTATTTATGAGCAATAGGCCAAAAATATTTGGACAAATGATACAATTACATTTTGCTGTTCAAGCTCTATTTTCCTATTTTGAGCGCTGATTTGAATTCAGTCGTTTGAAGGATTGATCGTATTGATATGCATTTTACACTATCTTATCAGCTATTTAATGTGTGCTTAACAGCTGCAGATCTATTGCATCTGCAAAATAATGAAGTTACGATTATCGAAGTATTATTTAGGTAGATCTGGCAGGCGTAGTAAATGGTCTATTACGTTTACAAGATACATATCAAATGGATACCAAAGATATTGCTGAAGGAAAAATTTTAAATTCTAAGATGCGAACAGTTGCTTTGACTGGTTAGTTTTGATTAGCAACTAGATAAAACGCTAGACAAGAAAGGCACTGATTATCTTTTGCCTTCTTTAAGAGAGAGAGATAGGATTTTAAAAAGCGGAGATATATTAATTTCAAAATTTCGAATATTGCAGCTGAAGATTGTTTTGAAATTGGTCGTGCAGCATACAATGAACATGACTATTATCATACCATTCTATGGATGCAAGAAGCGCAGAAACGTGTTCAGAATGAGACTAAGCCAACGGTGGATTCCAATGATATTCTTGAATACTTGGCCTACTCACTCTACAAACAGGGTAATCTGAAACGAGCCTTATTACTTACGGATGAATTATATCGCAGAAGTAAGTCATTTGTCGTAAAGTTGATTTTTTTGTAGTAAGATGTAAATACTCAAGAGTTCTGAAATTCTAAAACTTCGTAAAAATTTTTGCTTCGGTTTTCAAAAATTTCGAAAGCTTTCTGTGTTATCACTTTCATCATTTTAAATATTGAACATGTCAAAGTTTTGTTGAACTTTGTTCAAGTAGAAGTGTGATTATCGTTTAGTTCCATATGCAATACACGTTATATATACTTTTAATAGCATATTAATTCTTCATTTTTTTCAATTCTTTGCTTTACGGAGTGTTTTAGTGCGCATGTAGAAAATAATTACAGATCCGGACCATCCACGAGCCAGAAATAACGTGAGATGGTATGAAGATTTACTGGAATATGAGGGAGTTCGACCTATTGATATGCGACGAAAAGTTCCACTGATAAATAATCCACGTGATAAAAATGCGGTGGACAGCTACGTATTCCGTACATACGAAGCATTATGTCGACATGAAATACCCATCGTAAGCTTCATTAACTGCGTGTTTCATTTTTCTCATGTAAAGAACATTTAAGATTGAACTGCAACATCCTAAATTGCTATCGTCTCGATTCTTCTGGTTTGCATTGATTAGATTTTTCTATCAGTTAATCATCTATTAAACTTTTGAATATAATGTTAAAAATCATTAGATACAAAATACATCTTTATCGTATTTAAATCGAATTTAATTTATTAGAGAAAACTGCTACATGTAAAACTTCAAGATTTATTAAAACTATAGTTTTAAATTTTGGTGAGTTTCTTACAGGATATTAAGATACAATCGCGATTTTATTGCTACTATAAAATGGATCATCCATATTTACGTTTGGCACCGTTTAAAGTAGAAATTGTTCATCAAAACCCGTTAGCTGTACTGTTTCATGACATTATATCGGATGAGGAATCACAAATTATCGAAACACTTGCAATACCTAAGGCATGTTTAGTATTGCAACAACTGCTTGCTTATTTATAAGAGCTAAGGTGAGCTAGATTATTTATTCAACTTTACTTGATTTCATTTTCAGTTACATCGAGCTACAATTCATAATGCTGCAACTGAAAACCTTGAGACAGCTTCCTATCGTATTAGCAAAAGGTATTGTATAATGTTCACATATTTCACTTTTACAATGAATGAAATTTGTATTAAATTATAAAAACACTGTCAAAAGTCAAAGAAAAGTATTTCTTATCGTCTTTCTTTCATTTTTTGCTTAATTAGTAATAAGCTTTCCATTTTAATATATGTTTATAAGTGACAAAAATGATTTCAAATAAAATTACTTCAGAATTCGATGAACGAAACAAGAAAATTAATCTAATATATTATATTTTGTATGATATCATTTGCAGTAGTTGGTTGAAATCATCAGAACATGAAGTTGTTGAACGCATCGATAAACGTCTTGGTTTGGCAACAAATCTCTATGTAGAAAGTGCAGAGGAACTTCAGGTTAATATTTTTCCACATTTCTAAATTCCAGAATGGAAATCAGAGAAGTTCAAAATTATGAAAATTGTCAATTATCAATTTAGATCATTTTAAAATATGACAGTCTGTATAAATTCTTTGGCCGCTTCTTTATTTAAAATTGTATATTGTATAAATTTTAGTTGATTTGGTCACTTGAAAAATTTCAGGTGCAGAATTATGGAATCGGTGGACATTATGAACCTCATTTAGATTGTTCAAAGATAAGTGCTATTTTCTGCAGTTATTTTATCATTATTGTGTTGTCAAGCACTGATACTCCTTTTTTTTAATTTCTCATTCAAAAAAATACTTTGAATGCGAAACTTTAAAAATTAGAAAATGATTGATATCATTGCACAAAAATGATCTTGTATACAATATCAAATTTAATATTAAGGAATTAATTTATCACCTGAGATTTCTTAATTATTTCACATCCTAATAATAATGAATCATATGTTTAGAAGGAAGATCAGACTGCCTTTAAAGAATTGGGAACTGGAAATCGAATTGCCACAGCTTTGATTTATGTATTCATTTACATACATTTCATTTTTTTTCTTTTTAATTGGATAACCCAATCATTTTAATTGAAAATAATTGTATTTCATTACAGATGAGTGAACCGGAAATCGGTGGTAGAACAGTATTTATCGATACGAGAAGATCAGTTCCATGCACTAAGGTGAGTTGTTAGATATTAATTGTTACATAGTGGTATCACTCAGGTAGATGCCATCATCGCACAAAATATTTTATGATATTTTTTGATGATTTTTATGGAAAAATAAAATGATTAATTTCTACTTTACAATCTTCGCAATCTCTTTTCCTCTACGTGATTGATTAAGTAAGATAGGATAATTTATGCAACTAATTGACAGAATCAATCGAAATACATCTTTGATGTCTGTCTGAAAATTTTTTAAATTTCATGAGAAAATTTCTAGAAACATGCTGAAATTACTATAGCTTACTTTGCAATATGTGTAATGAACATATGATTTGGATTTCTGCAGAATGCAGCACTGTTTTGGTATAATTTGATGCGTAGCGGTGCAGTAGATATGCGCTCTTTACATGCTGCATGTCCGGTATTAACTGGGATCAAATGGACAGCGAATAAATGGTTTCACGAAAAAGGACAAGAATGGCGTCGACCATGTGGTTTGCATAAATCAGATCAGGAGCGATACGTTGGTGATTTAGGAGCTCCTGAGCCGAAATATCACTTGAATATCCGATCAAAAGCTAAAAAGTCGAAGAGAATGAGCAAAAAACGATAAAAATCTATTTTGGATTTCAGAACCTCAATGAAAATCAATGATTGAAGAAGAAGCAGAAAATATTTTTGTCTTTTTAAGAAGGTGAATCATCGTTTTGGCAAACATTCTTGACGGACTTGTTTATTTCTAAATAGAAATTATTTCTATATATATTTCGTCAAAAAAGTTATTTCTATCTGGTCGTTTCTTTGTTTTTGTCCCATCAATCTCTTCACTATTTTCATCAATATTTCGATCACTTCGTATACTGTATAATTTTTTCCAAATGCCTTATTCTTCCTAATCTTACCTAATATTATTATTAATATTATAATTATTTAATTCTTTGAATTAAATTAAAGATATTATCAGGTTATGCGATGACTTTGAGTTTGTGCTATGGGACTTACTGTTAATAAGTATTCTAATCATAATAATTTTTTCTCCAAATCATAATTTCCATATATTTCAATTGTAACTTTTGCTGATAATTTCTAATCAACAAGCAGATTTATTTTCCTCAGCTTAACCGAGCAGAAATATTTCACTGCAATGCAGTTGGTTGGATTTTCGAAGTACGATAAGCTCATTAAAATAATCTAAAAAAATTCTTTTCCATTGGGAGAGAATAAAGCTTAAATACTCTCCGCTGCGATTGCTTTATGGCTTAATTCGCTCTTTAGCTTATATTTAGGATTGAAATGGATTTGGGAATAATGCTAACTTCAGACCAAATTTCCAAAAAACATTTAATTGCATGTGGCATAATGTTGCACATGTTTTCCTTTTGCTGAATTTATTTCAAATTTTATTAAATCGAATTTATATTATGGCCAAACAAATATATTCTGAGTGAAAAAGTGATGGGAAAATTTTTGCGCAGCAAAATTCGGTAATAGCGCATGGCAAAGGTCGACGTCCCAATTCCCGTCATCATTTCTTCAATTCCTCTACCGCTCGATTTATTCTTTTGAGAGATCTACTTCTGATAAGTTTTAAAGTTTCTTGGGAAGCAAAGTTATTATAAAGGTAATATTGACAAAGAGAAATAGTGGAATGTAATAGAATGTACGCATCGTGAAGAGAATTTCTTCAATTTGAGATAGATTGTTAGGCTTCTAAACAACTTAGCTTACTCGATCTTACTGTAATTTCGTTTCTGGAAGTTTCTAAATTCCACCATCTTATGCACTTCTAATTTTTATATGCCGATCAATCTTCTGAAGATGTTTTTCTGGCATGCAAGATAATGAATGCCACTGCAATTTCATTGATTTTACATTTCGAAATGAAAGTCGCAGAAGACTCATCGTGACGTAGAAATGCCAACAAGTATTATCTCACTAAACTTCACCTAGAACTAAGAGATACTACCATTTTTTATTTGAAGCGATATTCAAATCGAATCGATCTGTAAAACGTAATATGAACGACAATTTGCCTTCTCTGCATCGTCATTCTAAACCTACTCAACTTTGTAGGAAAAGAAATCAATCGTCTGCCTTCAATTAAAATTTCATTGCATGAAGGGAAATGATGGAATTAAATTATTGTGCTCAGTACTAGTTTGGTAATTATGTTTGAGGGGTGTAAGAAGCGGTGTTTACCATTCATTGGTTATGAGTGTAAAGAGCGCCCTGTTCGTTCTATCATAGAGTGCAATGAAGCGCAGAAGACTTTTCATTTTAAATGTCACCGTCGTTTAGTCCTTCTTATTTGAATTACACCTTTAAATAATAATTATGCTATCATTTAATGCCTAATAGTGTAGTATTGAATTAATTAAAGCACTTTTAAGGCTAAAAATATAATGCGCACTAAGAAATTCTGACTCAACAATCTCTCATTGCAATCTCGTAGACACATTCCTTCAGAATTCTTTTTATCACTAATAGAACGGAGCTAATTATAGTAATGTAGATAGGTTTTAGACAATTGCTGTGGTAACAAACTTCAAAAAAAAGCTTAGCTGATGATACATTCTAACAATCGTGGCAGTGTCATAAGGAAGTGCGTAGTAACTGCAAGTAAAAAAGGATTCCGGAATTTTTTCCACTAAAAGATGAAATAATGAATTGATGTTGTGAGATTAACAGTTTACTTTCCGGTTGTTGCTACAATGAAATGAAAAACTGACTTAAAACTAGTTTTAATCCTCAAATGATGTACCTTCGATTATCACACCTTCTTCTTTTGTTCCTTCCTTTATTTTAATCTTTTCGAATTTTTTTCCTGCAAATTTAAGATTATTTTTGTACATTGAACCCATGCGGATCGAATCAGAATTGATTTCGCGGTAGTAATTTCTTGATGAAATATCGTGTTTCCACTATTTCTGATTCATAAACAAACATGAGATATTTGGCGGTGAGTTGTTGCAACATTCGACATTCCTGATACAACGGTTTACTGCTCAGTGAGAGGAGTGATGGCGGTAATGTCAGTTTGCACAAGCATTTCAAATTGCCTTGAAATTAACTTTTAATTATTCGTACATAATTGCTTAATTGCGTGCAATATTCATTATCAACAAGTATTGCATATGTCGAAG